ATATAGAAAGCATGAATGTCATGATAAATAAACAAACTCCAACCCTAGCTGGTCTCAAGCAACTGCCATCCAGTTTCTAAAACGTCAACCAGAAAAAATGATATTGCACAAAACCGTACTCCTACTGTGGAAGAATGAAGAGAGAATATTATCCTCTCTTTAATTACTCGAATTACATTAATTCAATAGTATTAATTTTGTTAATAGTATTAAAGAGTATTTAATAATATTAATTTAAATACATGAAAATGCAAGGCAGTATCATTACTAAGAGGACAAGGAATCAGGTAATCAGTTACAAGAAGACACGGTACTTCATTATCTATTTGTGTACTTGAACTAGTGAAAGGTTTACTATTAACATCGAGAGAAGCAGAACACATCACTACATCTTAATGAAGAAACCAAATAGCAGAAATACTTTTTCAAGGATATTCAGTTGTTTTTCTTCTTAACAAGCTGCTGTCACACACAAACATGAGCAAGTCTAACAATTCCCTTAAAGATTGTCTATTAAGTATTCTTATCCAGTAACAACTACACAAACCAGTTACACCTTCCCCCCCCCCGAAACAGACTCATCATGTATATTTAGCATTTTTCTACCATCAAGGATTGAAAATATCTGCTTACCTGATGCCTCATGTAGTGATGCATATATGGTGCTCCAATTTTAATTACTTTGAGGCAAAATGGACATAGCAAATGTTTTGTGTTTTCATGAACTGTTCTAAAATGTGTTTCTACATCTGAAAAAGCTGAGGATCTGTAGTTGCATACCTAAAGCAAAAAGGTGGACTTTCTTGTTAAAAGTTTATTGATAGTAAAGATGGGGGGGGTGGGAGTAATCTAAATACAAAACAATCACTCTTGAGATACCTGGCAAACATACGGCATTTCACCTGGCTTATGATTGTCCTTCATATGTTGCAGAAGAACTTGCTCTGTTTCAAAGGATAATTCACAGATTTTACAAATAGCTAAAAAGGCAAAAGAAAACAAAAAGGTAAAAAATTCATTTGGGGACACAAGGAGATAAATTTTAATGCTACGTATATGTGAACTGTAAATATGTATAAAGGTGAAGCAACCTAATGATTATTCTATAATTCAGAAGTAATTCCCTGTGCAATTTCAGAAAGCCAAGAGTGCAAGGCCCTTAAACAATGTGAATTCTTGCAGTCAAGTTTTCAACTAAAAACAAAACCAAACCAAAAAACGTTTTAAAAATATTTTTCCACCCACGTTGCTCTTACATAAATAGAACAAGTACTCAGTTCCTACATTAAATCAAGATTACTACTCTTAAAATACAAGAGCTTTACTCTGAAGTTACAAACCAATAAATGTCAGAAAATATGTAAAAATTTTAGATCACAAAAAGATTCAATGTGACACAATTCAACTTACTAGATGATTCATAAGGGGTGTGTGTACTTTCAATGTGGCACTGCAGCTGGAACGGTGTGGGAAACTGACGGTAACAGTGCTGGCAGGTGGTGTGGCTTTCCCAACTTTCACTGCTTTGTTTCTCAAGTTCCAAGTGATGTTTCATGTGGTTCATAAACCTTTAAATGACAGTGAAAACAGGTGCAAACCCTGCATTTTAACATTCACTATAAATGACATACCACATGCAAGAGGTACAAGATTCTTCTTTTAAAGTTTACTCTGGAAGGATTTCTCAGTTTCAAAAAAATCTAAGGAATAAGTGTTCATAAAGTAATAAGGAGGTAACCAAGTTAAGCAAGCTGACTGACAGAAGTCACCTTTCAAAGCTTAAAAAGAAATCCTGACTATTACAAGAAACACACAATATATCTGAAACATGTTCTGAGACTAAGCAATCTATTGCATTTTTCATGGTTGCAAATTGTCTTGAAATAAAGGGAAATTAGGAAAGGCAACAACAAAATGTGTCAGCTGTTCACACTTCACCACCATCAGTCTCTCAAAGACAAGCTCCGAAACAAGTATAACTTCAGCTCTGCTCAAAACTATTAAAGTAGCAAGCACATATCTGTAATTAGAACATTACAGCTTTATCTGAAAGTACCTCCGTTCACAACTGGCAGGCTTCCAGAAGCTTTCTTTGTATAAAGCACTCAGAACTGAATTGAATTATGAAAACCAGTTATCAAAGAATGACATTGGGCAGCTGACAATCAAAAGACTATGAGAAACTTGATGGTATGTTACTACTACAAGTTACCACCTTTTCCTCACTAGTATGTCCACACCTATCTGCAGCAGGAACCTATTCTGACTGAAGTCTAGACACTGGCAGGTCACACTTACTGGTGGAGCAGCACGAGGATAGGTTAGTTGCACAACCCACTACTGTTAAACTTCAAAATCTGTTCTGTTTTGTATGTGCTTCATTTCAGTTCAGCCAGAGGAACTATCAAATGTAGGTCACGCTCACATAAGAAATGTAGTTCTCAAAGTGGTGACCTTAGAATTGGGGGAGGGGGAAGAGCAAGGAGAATAGTCTCTTGAGCTCAAGCTTCTAATATCATGCAGTTGCTTAAAAAAGGAAAAAAAAGAAAAAAAAAATAAAAACCAATCCAAAAAAAGGCAGAAGAAAGGAACTGATACTAGTACTGTATACTACCTTAATACAACACTATTTCACATAGATTCAACATGACCTATATGTTCAACCATAGATCTTTTAAGGAAAGTAGGGGATTAACTGATAAATCATTTTGTGCTTTTCTGAATTAAGGTCCAGAAAACTTCCACTAGAAGTAAAGAGATACTACATATTTTGTCCACTAGAAATGTTTAAAAGTGTAAAATACACCTTCAAAAAGAAATCCTGAAGTTAGTAAACTATAGAATACAGCTACAAAGTTACAGCAAAAATGAATATGGCTGAAAGTCAGCTCTAGAGAAATTCAGAGAAACAAATGAAGTGCTCATTTTTAATGACTTGCTCTAGACTACACAGGCACGACAGCACCAATAGCTTACCATATAATGCTGAGTAGAAAGTAATGCCTGAAAAATATTTTTAAAATAAACCCAGTATCTTTAAATAAAGGATTCGTTCTGTGAACTACTTTTCATGATATTGCAATAAAGGCCTCCTTGAAAAGTATTCTGCATATAAGAACAGAAGAAAAACCTCTTGGCCCATATCAAACATCGTTTATTGCACTCAAAAAGATAAACTGCAAGGGAAGAAATGCCATAATTACCAGGAACTACAAAACTCACAAGTGTAAACTCTTTTAAAGTCTAGCAACGTACGACAATTTCAATCTGCTTAAGACAAACTACCAACACTTTTACTTAGGATATATAAATCCTGAATGATTAATAGCAAATTTAATGTTTGCAATTATATGAAACTTGGGTTTTTTCAATAATATGGGTCTAATGGCAGCAAAAACCTGTTCAATTTAAATTGCAGACTATGCTCTTTGAAGGAATAGTCCATTTTTCAGTTTTACATTCTGCTACTTCAGCTTCCCTTGAAGAATGCATGTATAAAAGTTCAATGACCTTAACTTCCAAAGGAACAATGACACAGGCATGTCTACCCATTAAAACAGCTTACTGAACTTTTTTTGCAGCATTTGGAAGTAAAATTATTCCATCAAAATAACAGATGTTACATAAGGAAACCACCAACTATTAGTCATTGTGCAGCCCTAAAGGGAATTAATACTGGCATCTACTGATATCACCATCAATCCAGATGGCAAATTGTAAAATACTTTGTGTTGCCCTTTCTAAACCCAAAGTCCTACAACTGCTCTCATTAAAACTCTACTGTTTATGTTAAACACCATAAAAATTTCTAATTCTAATCTGGAAAAAGTTTGTTATGGCCATACATGCATAATAAAAATTACTTCAATTTTTCTTCAGCCACCCACTATTATCAGTTTTCAATAAGAAAAAAATTTCTGTTCCAGAGAGACAATGCACAAGACTACATGCTATGGGCTCCAAGTCATTAACAAACAATTAAGGAAGTGAGTTCAAATACCTTATGTTGTTTTTAAGAACTTTCAGACAACTGAAGCACTTAAATGTCGTATGAGTCTTCTGCTCCTGTTGTACCTGCTGGGTGTCACCTTCATGTTTCCCATAATAAAAGTCATTAACTAACATAATCAATTTTCCTTTCTCAGATTCAGCAATCTTGCTTGTTGTGCTGGAACATTCTGTTTTGGCCACTCCCAGGAAAAAGTTATTTACCATATCTGGACAACAATACTGGACGGAAGCGGGGAGAGAAGAAACAGAAACAAAGGAATCAATCTTTCTTACCAAACTGCATCAATGACAACATTTTAAAAACTGAAGCCACTCACTAAATGCAGTTAAGATACAAAGCTCAATTCTCTGATACACTGACTTTATTTATATTCGAATATGGATTTTGAACAGTAACTGTATCAGAATAAAAAGGTAGGTTTACACTGTTGTCTTTGTCTTAGTAGTGATCTAACACAGACGTGGGTCAACTGGCTGCCTATTATCGTAGACACCCTCATTGAATTCACATGAATCTGGCCAGTGGTTCAAAAAGTCACAGCTGTGGCAGAGAGAAATCATATACAGACAGCAAATATGCTTCCATTCATCGGAAAAATAAGGCAAAGAGGGGTAGAATTAGAACTCCACTCTTCCATTCTTCCTCTCCATGACTGCAAGATACTGAGCTTTTAGCCTCTGGTTGATCATAGCCAGAAGCCAGTGTATCTTCATATCAAAACATGACACTCTTCCATAATCAAACAAAGACCACGTAAGTTTGTTATAATGTTTAACAGTCCAAAACATTTTACCTTCATGTGATTTTTTAGAGGATCCATAAGATTGAAATGAATATTGCACTTTGGACAAGCTCGTGGAAAAGGTCCTCCATTTTTAATAGTGCTTACTACAGCATCTGTACCTGTAAAATTTAAAATATGTTAAGATACAGAATTCACAAACAGAATACTTGATTTATTATTATTCTAGCAAAATATGCAATTTCAAATAAGAACTATTACAACTGATGTAGCTGAGGTAACCATAAGCAAGGTTTTATGACCATCTTTTAACCACCCTTTCTTCTTTCCAAACTCACTTTGAGTTTGTTCTGTTTGATAAACAACTTTTACAAAATATTAGCAGCAACCAAGGAAAAAATAGGAGGGTGAAGGTAGCATAATAGAGACAAAGCATTAATTCTATGCACCACCCACCCCCCAGATAGCATGAATTTTTGATGTTTTAAAGAACTTTGATTCTCCAATGAGCATGTAAAACTTGTTTTATGCCACGACCTGATCATCATCACAATAGGGTTCAGATAATGGATTTTGGAAAGGAATTTCACCATCTGGTTCTCAGTGAGGATATTTCTCTCTGGGCAGTTGTTGGAACCTAGGCCTATTCAGATGCAGCATTCCTGTTGAGCAAAGGAGAACCTGGAGAATAAATCCTCTAAGTAATTACTCCCAGTAATGAATAGAAATAGTATTTTTCTTGTCAACGTAAAATGATTAATACCTTCCGAGCAAAACCACAAAACAAAAAACAAAAAAAACCCCCCAAAAAACCCAAAAAACCCCAAACCAAACTGCATTAGCTTAAACTTCAATGAATAAACCCATGCTTCCAGTTTTCTCCAAATTGCCAAAAAACATCAGAGCAGGTGCTACTTTTCCAGATGAAGTTCTCTTGCACTCTCAAGTCATTCACACAGCTGGATGACTCCATGCCAAGTATGTAGTTTAGAAGAAGAGGTTAAACACAGGAAGAGTTTCAAGTAATATCTCAACCGTAGAGTCAAGTGTACCCTGCTAGGGCTATGAAAAAAATGTAATAAGAATAACCACACAAATTCATCCATAACAAGGGAATAAGTAAATAACTGTAAGTCAAGAGATGACCATGCATTACACATTTTTGCACAAAAGTAGTCTTGCATAGTCCATGAGGTAAACATGGATCAGACAGTATTCTTCATTGAAGCTAACAGTATTGCCAAGAATCATAATTAAGCACAAAGCCCACCACATGAATGGATGGCCATGCAAGAGATGTACTGCAAAACAGTGCTGCATATTGTTGCTATTACTCTTGGTAAAAGACTTGGACGCATCACAGCTAAGTGCAAGCTGAGCTGGAAGAAAACAGGTTCTGCAGCAAAATTTCGTGTTCTGTAGCGCTTCAGTGTTGCATTCTGTGAGAGATTAGAAATTGCTATACTAGCACGGAATGGCTTAGAGACTTTGTTACAGCGTTTAGGAAGATCCTCTAATTATCTTTCGTGTATTTTAGGCTGCGGCATAGTATCTGTTTTATAAAACCCAGGGTGGAGGAAAATTTTTTGCTGCAATATTCCATATTATAGCCACTTCCTTCTGGTTGCTGGGGAAGATTCTGATAATAAACCAGCTGCAAACAGACAAAACCCCCAAATCTTAAATTATTCCTAACAGAATCGCAGGTAGCACCTCATTTTAACATTATGGGAGAGAGTATGTGACTGGAAATCTCTCAAAGTCATGAATAAATCTTTGTCTATTACAACCAGCTGGAAAGCACCTTTTGGCTCTGGAGGAAAACACACATAATTATTAATATGCTGAAACAGCTAGACTACCTCTCTTCTTGTAGGGAAGAAAAGGTCTTTCAAAGAACATCCTCTCTTTGAAACTTAAATCTGTCTCCTCCCTTCCCACTACTTTAAACTGTATCAAAAACACACCTGCAAAAGAAAGGGAGGAACTGCAAAATGCAATAATTAGTCAAAGTACAGACTCACAGAGTAATTTAGGTTGAACCTGTAGAGGTGGTTTTGTCCAGCTTTTCACTCAAAGTCCAACTTTATTTGGGATGCTCAGAGCCACATCCAGCGAGCTTCTGAACGTCTCCTAAGATGGAGATTCTACAGTCTGAGTCCTTGCTACCTTACCTGGCATTGCTACAATTATTTATTTATTTATAACAGAATTGGCTGACAAATTCAGCAGTCACAGAATTATTTAAGTCTTGATCTTCTGGTTGCTTTTTTTTTTAAATTTCAACTCCCTCTTCAGTTATTTGATGCAGAAAATCTGAATTAAGGGTATGACGTCAGGGGTATTTATTCTGATCATCTGTCTTCACAGCCGCTGAACAAATAAGTCATTGCTTTACAGAATTCAAATAACAATTTAAACAACAAACGTCTAAAATTTTAACAGATAAAAATCTAGGGTGTATTAACTTGTAAAGGTTTGTAAACCCTTGCATAGAAAGGTTTTTCTTCTTTTAAGGCATAAGAACAGTTACTCATTTACATTGCCTTAGTAGCATTAATAATAGCAATCAACTCAAACATTACAAGAGTGCTACCTTCTTCCATGCAACAAAGGCATGGACTGACAGCTAGACCATTCGATTACCCTGCCTTTTGAAGATACATTTTGTGATGGTGTTACTGTTGTAGAGTTAACTGTAGGTGAAACAGCTGAATTGCTTCCAGCACCAACCTCATTAGGCTTGGCCTTTTTTGGAGATACTCTATTGTCTTCAGAAATAGCAAGACACTCAGATACAAAAACACTCTCATTGAGACCTACAGTGGTGTAAATTAAAGAACCTCATTTTTTTCCATAATATATTACAAACACAGCAGTGATGCCTACACTTTAAAGGATGGGCAAGTCCACATAAACCAGTTAAGATCTCCCTAAATAATAAACCATACAGAAGTGAAGAAAACAATATCCAACTCAGACTAAACATTTGAAGGCCAGTGGAGAAGGAAAGGGTAAATGGAAAGAGATACAGACCCATCCCTGAAACCCAGTAAATCATACTATGCCCACCTGTATTTACTTGGCCTACTTTTCACATCTTGACCCACACTAATCTGAGACGAGGTGAGTTCATGCTAATAAAATTAAGCTAAGCAGCTGGTTTACGCAATGCCCGCTGCCTCGAACAACCTCTGCTCTTCTGATGAGAAACATCTATCCTTTCTCCCGGTTCTATGTTAATGCTGGTTTAGTTTGTTATATAATTCTGTAAAACATTTGAGACTTGAGGTTGTATGCAGAATGAAAAGTGTCGTAACTCCTAATGACTAATCACAGCACACCTATTTGCTCCCTTCTGCAAGAACAGTTGTTGGCAGTATTTCTTCTAAATGAAAGATCTCTAAATAACAACTCTGAAATCAGAGGTTCAGTGCCTAATTAACATGCCCATCAAAACTCTGCTCCATCTTGTCCTGAAACTAATGTCTGTCACTGTAAGATTACCCTTGATGATGTAATATCAACAGAGAGATCAGTCCTCAAGTAGACCTGAAAAAGCAGAGCTACATACCAAGAAGTCTGAAGTGCCAGTACAGGCCTTGTAAATCTGTCAGAATCACAGACTGCAAATAGCCTTAAGACTACCATAAGCAATGACAAGGACCAGACTTCAGTTCCAGGCGCAACAATCTGAACTAAGAACATTCTTGAATATTGCCCCCACAATGGTCTAGCTGCTCCAACCAGATTTCTTTGGGTGTAATAAGAAACTGAGTTAGCAAGTCATCTTCAACAAGCAGGGGTAACTTGTGTCACACAATGATTCATCCTTTTGAGAAGAAACAAAACCCCTCCCACCCCCAAGCTGTGTTTACTCAGTAGTAACTATCTACATATAGCAAGTAGTCTGGATAGTCTCCCCATTCAACCCACAGAGGCAAAGACCCCCAGCAGGCAATGCTGATATTTGAGAATTTTGGAGAATTTACTACACTATACCTCACATACAGGAAAACATAATTCACTTGTTTTATATGTATTTAATAATCCTAACATTATCCATTGTAACACACCTTTTCTTTCCAACATAAATGAACACATTAAGCTCAAATGTCTCACTGTAGGTGTTGTTTGGCTAAGGTAATGAACACATTCACAAAATAAACAGGTAATTCATTAGATACTACTTGTTTCTAGGGTTTTTTAATATACTTACACTTGCACTGTTAGGTATATGAGCTAGTTACATTGACGTATGTGTCTTGATCAGCAAAGGCTTCCATAAAGCTGGTATGACTTTAGCATTCGTCTGTATCAGAGGCTATTCAAGCATCAGGCCATCAACCTACAGCAGGCATTGCTACAATATACTTATTTACGTGTAGTTGTGCAATGAGGGCCAGGGATAACACAGGAGGTCTGACTGATTTTATAAAAATCAGTAAAAAAAAAAAAAAAAAAAAACCCCACCAATTTTTTTTTTTTTTACTCTAGAAAACCTGATTTGGAGGAAAAGACTATTTTCACATGTCAAAAAATTTGGTACTAGTTTCAGTTAAAGCCTGAAGGCTATTTCATGTATTTATAAAGGTGAACATTCTTAACTCAGTTTATACAACTCTGATCTAATAAATTCTTTCAGAAGAATATACATAGGCTTGCATTTGAATTGTTGTTCACTTAAAAAAAAAATTAAGCCTATTCTGAAAGATAATCAAACCAATTCCAGTAATTATTTAATATCTTGCCAGTATAAATCAGATTGACTCCTCTTTTCAACGAAGTGTCTTTCTCAGGTAGTGTGTAAACACCGCTGCTGCGTAGGTCACCCGTGTTCTAGACTAGTTTGTCTAATCCTCCACCCAGCAGACCACACAGCTGAAACTATCAGGGACTCCAGATACTCAAGACATCAGAGAAAAGAAACAGCCAAACAATTCTTGCTTAATTTTCAGGCTGCTCAGGATTCTGTTACCATCACTTCATGCTATCGGTGAGTACTTTCGTCAATGTTTTATATCTGTTATTAAACAGTTGAATGTTCTCACACACACAGTATTATTGTGTACAATATCTAAAATGATTGCAAGAAGGAGCAAAGTATACTGGATGCTCTATCACCAACCCGATAGGTTTCTCAACATGCATTACAGCACTACTGTAAAATCCTTAACACTGCTGGGTGCATCTGTGCTGGCTGGGCCTGATTTTATGAACGATGGCAAAAGACATGGAAGTGGTAACCTACGGTAAAAGCATTAAATGTACTGTGCTAACAGATCAAATTAACAGAATAGGGATACGAAAACCAAAATGTTTCAGGACTCTAGTGCATGATCCCTCACCAACACCTAACATTAATATATTGCTATGAATACATGTATACAGCCCAGTCAACTCCTAAAGACAAGAAAACAGCTCTTCTATCGGTTATGACATTTTCTGGTTCCTTCAAGTGGGTAAAGTTAGTGGGAGAATGATCTTAAAATATTCTCACAGAAAGCAAACTACAGTTTTACATACATCTCCAGTGGCCATCCAACCTGCAGATAAGTTACCAATGCTGTTTAAGTTAACACCACCACCTATTTAGCAAACTAACAAAATTATTGGTTGATGTCGTTTCCCTACTTAGACCTCAGAAATTAGTATTTATGCTATCGAGCTAAAGAAATGTCTTTAGTGATCCACGTACAGATTTTAAGTTGTCCTGCATATCACAGGCCAGTTCCTAAAAGGATTCTGCTTTTAAATACCATATTCCAGAATGTCTTTTGCCTACAGTACTAAATGTGAATTAGAGGAAGCATAGCATCAGCAGGCAACTAGGCATTGGGATATACAATCAACATGAACACAGGCATCTTAGGTGACTTCATTGTACAAGCCAAACCACAAAATACGCAGATGCCTCTTGTTGTAAAGTGAAATTTATCTTAAATTTGCCTTCTGTGACAAAGATACTTGTGTTTCAACCCACAATTCTAAACCTTTTAATTTCTAAATCCTATTGTCATCTCAGAGAAATAAAGATAGAATAAATATGGTATATTTAAGAAGTTTTGAATTACATTCCTGGATGCTTTGAAGTATGTATTTTTTCCTTGATAAGAGACTAATGCAAGTAAGCTTTAAATATGCAAGCAGGTCTCCTAAACAAACAAACAAAGAATCAATAAAAAACTTTGTTCTTTAGAGAATGATGGCTGGAATACCGAACCATTTGCAAGAAATAAGATTTCTGCTTACTTAACAAAAAGTTATATAACCCAGTAAGACAAGAATGAGATCAGAGAATAGTTGGACACACGCAAGGAAATACACTACCAGACCTTCTTTGATAAGTACCTAAACTAGAGATGCAGAATCATCACATCAAGGAGAATAAACTAGCAATGACTATGTTCCACATAACTTGTTAGTATGACCAGTTAGGCCATTCATTGTACATAACCTGTCACCTCACGGAAGAATCAGAAGCGATTGTCATCTGTAACTTACAGACTGAATGACAGGATTCTGGTCCATTATTACAAAAGTACAATCCTTCACAAAAGAGAAGGGAAGTCCCAAGTTATAGCCTGTTTAAGACTGAGTACACTGTATGCTTCATACCTGCTTCACCTGCTGTGACACAAAAAAAGGTGCTTTCTGGTTTGTTTTTAAGTAGGTTAAATAGTCTCAGCAGAAACACAATTTAGCTAGTTGGAAAAAAACCAAACCCAACCCATATTGTTGAACTATGTACTCTTTCACTTTCCCATCTTTTCAGTCAGGATTCTTTTGATCTCATCTACTCCAGCTTCTATACATAGCAGTCAAGAAACCCAGATCATCATCCATCATTGAAGGGAATCCACTCAACAGACTCAAAGTTCTTCTCATACTGTTGACAGCCCCTCTTTTGCCAAGAATCATTCCTACTCATGCTAGTCAAAGAGTGCTGGACATACTGAAAATGAGCCTTTATCAGTCTAAAAAAAATTACAGCAGATCTAGCAATACTTTTTTTTCCACCTAAATGAGCATTGTAAGACATCAGTCGATATTACAGTCTAATGCACTGAAAAGCGAAGACTGACAACACAAGCATCCAAAGTTTATTTCATTAAACATTCCACGATTTTATGTACAGGGGGAAGAAAAGAGTAACTATACTATGTTCTAGAAATCCTATTTAAAGTTACAACCCAAAGATCTGTGCTCCACTTAAATGACATCAGGCTGCTTCTTTCTCTTATCAACTACTACATTTATACCCACCTGTTACATTCACTGCTGGCCCAGTCTGGTACTGTGGAACTCCCGAGTTCTCTCTCACACCAAACAGTATACCAGATGTATTATCTGGTGCAGCTGGTGGAGAATCCATAATATAATCCTAATGAGATATTTTCAAGAGGGAAAAGAAATTTGAGGTTTAACATTTTTTCACTTGCAGGCTTCAAAGGGCTTATTTTAAAAACATATGACTGTTTAAAAGTACTCCTAAATACTCAGCTGTAAATCAAGTTAATTACAATCTCCCAAAAATAGTTTCTTTTGACATTTTAATAAGTTTGCAACTCTCATCAGGGGTTAATTTATTCATAGCTGTGTATCAGAATAGTAAAAACAACCATAAGACCTGGGAAAGTCCATTTTATGAAGTATTACTAAACCTGTTTGAATTGCTAATTGTAACTGCTTTTGTTCAAAAGTCTGATGATATTTCAGATTATACTTGTTTTTCAAAAAACTCTTAATACTTTCTTCCTTCAACTGAAACTCAGGCAGTTGCGTGTTACTCTTGTGTGTTGCAGTGTGCTAGGTGCAATTTAAAAGATCAGAAAACACAATTCAAAAGTAGCATAAACTTGCAGCAAGCAGCTTCTCAAAGCAAGGTGATACTAAATAAGTCAAATTCTACTTAGTGGACAAGCTTTAAGTGAAGTAAAAGTATCTATAGGATGTTGACTGGGAATGGCAATAATACACGGTATTACTAAGGGGTTTTTTTTCTTTTACATAATTTCATATGGACTTCTGTAAACAATATACCTCTTTTGAAAGCACATAGCTAATATCAAAGTTGATTCATGTTACTTAGTGCCTTCTTGTATTAAGTTTTGTGCACCAGGTATTCTCTTACCCTTCAGTTTTGAAGGTTTGTCCTTCAATAGCACATATAACCTAGAAAATTGAACAGTCTATATTTCTTGGCTCCAACACTGAAAACTGTTAAAATTGACCACCTTCACTGATCACTCAATAGGTAACATTTGGAGGGAAAAGCAACATGAAATTTCCTTCTCTTTACATGTATTCAGGGTTCAGGGCAAGGTAGGAGAAATACTCTTTCCAAAGTTCATCAGTACTGCTCACATCTTAGTATGCCATTTATCCTAACACAATCAATCACGAAATATTTTCAGCAATAGCAATAAGGAGCTAAGAAAAACCTTATAATAGTTAGGATTAATTTCAGTGTTAAGGTATGAATGGCAAAATACTGACACTTGATCTTTTTCCTTGGAAATAATTCAGTTGATTACACTTCATCAAGCTGTACTGTGAAACAAAATTTGACAAAAGTAGCTCCATTTTCCTTGGAAAAACAAAATAATCACCCTGTACACATACACAGACTTTGTCATCAGTGTATCCATGAGACAAAGGCCAAAATACCTCCTGCTGTAAAGATCAAACTCAAAAAATGCTTCCAATCACAGTTGTGCTACTTATTTGAAAACATCTCTGTGGTGGAAGTTGCCACAAGTGGTGCACAAGCAAACATACAGGTATAATAGGCTATTTTCAGACTCTCAAGTATGAGAAAAGATTTGAACAAAAAAGGAAGATGCTTCTTGCCATCCTTCCTTTTTGTTGTACATTTCTTAAATGAAGACCCTGCAGGACCTTAATGATAATGGAGAGCCATTCTTTCTTTTGGGGAGCGACCTAACCCAATCTAACCAAACTAAATACAAAGGTTCCAGAGTAGTTGTGGAAATAGTTACTAAATTTCTCTGCTCTAATCTGTTATGAGTAACACCTACTTAAGCTGCAGTCACAAAAGAGCATGTGTTACTGTAGCCACAATGGTTTCAGACTAGCAGTAAAATAAATTACAAGCAAAGCAGCTTCAGCTAAACCCTGCTTCAAGCACAACTAATGCTACTGGCCGCTGGTGGCAGGCTCTTAGTGTGGAGGACTATGCAGACCACCTACATTTAATATACAACCATTACAACAGGTACATGCAAAATCTGCTTCTCTTACTACTCTGTGGTTGGTGTATTTTTTTTCTTCCTTTTTTTTTTTTTTTTTTTTTTTTTTTTAAATATGCTGTGCTAACATTTTAACTTTCTTCAAAAAAAAACAACCTGGGTATTTTGATGGCATGTGTACATGTCCCTAGAATATACTCAAAATACCTGGTAAGGAAAAAAGTAAAAGCAGACAGCCTGCAAATTCAAAGTCTTGTCACTTTCAAAACGTCCTTGTCTGTTTACAATTATTCTTCTAATGCAATTTGGCTCTGTCATTTTACATACAAACCTCCCTCCCCCCCCATATCTTCCCATGCTTTAGAAAGCAAAAACATTCTAAAGAAAAACATTTACCACATCAATGAAAAGTACAAAATCCAACTAACATACAGGTGTTCTTATATGAAGAAAAGCAAAACCCAACACCTTTATAAATTAATATCCTAAGGTTCGAGTGAAGAAAAATAATCCACCACCACTCTTAGTTTTCCAAGAGACTAGTGAAAATACTGAGTTCATACTGTGTTCATCATAGATTTCCTAACTGTGGAAACCAACACAGTAACTGGTAACCAAATCCACACAGGGAAATTATCATGTGTGGTGTGGGACCTTTGCTCTCCCAAAATTAAGTAGGAACAACTGGAACCTGAATCACACTCAGTCTGACAAAAGTGCCTATTAAGTAGGGGAAAGATATGGACAAAATTGGCTGGGGCTTATTGGGAGAGCATTGCAACTGCTGAAATAGAGAAAAATCTTCACCGCTAAGAACAGATTCTTCTTACAGAAGAGGATACCCTGTGCCATCATATACAACAGCACTAGCTCTGACTAAATTAGAATTGCTGTGAACAGTACGACTGAAGCCAAATTAAACTCAGAATTTCTGGAACTGCATTAAAATAGTGCAGTAACAAGATCACAGGAACTAGTCCTTCACAGAAAGTCAGTGAATCAAGCCTGTGACTGGAAATGGGTATTTTCAATGATAAAACTGGAACAGCAAACATCAACAAAAGGTATTTTATAGACCCACATGTTATAAAATCGAGGAAATGTGTTCCAACTCAGTTTGCAATCAAAAGCAATCAGTTCCCACGGAAAAAACTGTCACATCCTGAGATTAAGAAATATTGCAGCATATTAAGAACGTAAAGGCAGCCTAAAGGATGTTCAGCTAAAAAAGGGTCCTGTCACAGTGTCTAGTCAGACCTCACAGCCATCCACACACCACAATATTTTACTTCTAAGGTAAGTTTCAACATCTGGAAGCTGAAGATCCAAATGCCAAACATTGCCCAGAAAAACTTATTTGAAGCCCTCGCAGCTTTGGAAGAATCAAGTCAGGAAGAAACAGAAAAAGTGTGAACAAAAACAAAAAGTGAGAAAGCCCCAGGCAGAAAATCATCACTATAAAACAGTGGCCCCAAGTGAAATAAAGATTAGATAAAGGGGAGGGGAGGTGTTTCCAAAAAAACCTATGGAGCTCTTGAATGAAGAATTCAAACCAAGGACATGAACTAAAATATAGGTTGTATACATGTGACACTAAGAACAGCAAATGGCAATGTGGCACAAATGATACTAAAAATCACACGATCTTGCCCAAGAAGCTGAATTATAGTACCTCCCTAAAAAAAGAATCCTTTTCCATGCCATGTACCTTGAAAATTATATTTCCAGCTGCAACTTCTTCAAATAGGTATTTCTCTACTCTGCCAAGGAAGAAATTGCAGATTTTGGCAAAGTAATACTATAAAACTTAACTGAAGTCTCATCTGTGACATTCCTGTTGAAAGTAAACTTGATAAATGAGAAAGCTCTCACAAGTGCTGTGTGCATAGTGTCTTTAAAGGAAATTACGACTTGATGAGTTATGTCCAGCTTACACATACCTTTTGGAGAAGTTCAGCTTTCCTAACTCTGTGTACTAACAACTACAACATAGAAGCCACCAGCAGCTTTATCTATTAGAACAAAAACATAAGCATGGATCTGTGAGGGAAGTAAAGGAGGGGATTTTCTTTTGCAGTAAAAGATTCTGCAAGACATCCTAGCACTCCTCTGAAGGATTTTATAAAGCATACTATGTCCTAAGCAAACATCTATAAAAATAAAATTCACAGACTTGAAATGTGTATACATCATGTGAAGTAGCAGTCCTATCTATATCAACCTGGCCTGCTGTAGAAAGACAGATTTAAGAGGACTCCAGAGGCAATCTAAACATCCTACTGATATCTGGATTTTTGCCTATATCACTTTTAGGCATTCTTACATACAGAGACAGACTGATTTTGCTAACCTGCCTCAGTAGACATGTCCACAATTTCTCTCTGCAAACTATCAATCAGCTGCCAAAGACTCGAAACTGGAAACCATGAGTTCTTTCCTAATGAACTGGCCAGAGATTTAGCTACTCAGTTGATAGGCAATGATTACTTTGCATTGTTTTTCTTAAAATACAACCGCCCATGGGCAATGATTTAGCCACAAGTCTTAAGAAGAATCTCTTATTCTCATGCTTTAATGGCCTTATTAACTATGTTCATTCAGACTGATTGCCCCGTTCAACGAATGCAGAATACACTAAGCCACATGATTTTTATGTATACCAAAAGACTAACAGCTGGGACAACCACAGGTGTTAATATTTGCATGGATAGTAGATATGGAACCTACTGTCAGGCTTCATTTTAACCTGACAGGAGTAGTTAATATTATAGACATACTGTCTAAACAGTTTAATCTTATATTATTTTCAATAATGGTATCATAGTTTACCTCATCCACATACGAAATTTTTAATTTTCATTCTTTCTGTGTCACAAATGTCCAATGGCCAAGGGAATAAAACCAGCATTTAACTTAACTCCCTAAAGTTATCATTCTGAGGTTCTATGGCAATCAGGAAGATCTATGATACACAAACTATGTGCATAATTCGCTTGGGCTTTTCAAACTGAACAATCATGTTGCCAAACTGTCTCATCTACTGACCCTGCAACTTTTGGTTGCTTAAGTCCTCCTTACCATACCACTGTTTCACTACAAGTGCTAAGTGAACCAGAAAGCAAAAACACTTAAGAAGCTACCACTGCAGCATTCTCTTAAGAAATAAAAATCCCAAGAGGGTCTGTAAAAATCAGGTGGGAAAAGCACAACGTTACTTTAAACACCAAATGCAAGCTATTTAAAAATGAAATTAACTTATCAATACAGAGGATCTGTCTCTGAACAAAAGAAAAAAACTGCAAAATTTAGAGAATGTGCATTTCCATTATTTCTCCACATAACATGACCTAAACAGTATGTATTTCTCTTACGCCTAAGATCTTCATTTAATGTAACTCCACTGTTACTAAAGCTCTCATCTTTGAGTCTTGCAAATTAGTATATTCAAATATATATTTTAATTCACCAGTGCAAGGTTATGGTCCTAGAATCTTCACAGTTTACATAATGCTAGTCTATAATCTAGTCCGGGTCTTCAAATTACTAGACTGGGTAAGCATGTTGCTTATTAATTTATTCAAAAGTAATTGCACCGGAGTCTTTTATAGTTTAAGGGAATAAAAATTTACCTGATCGAGTATTACAGGCTCTGATGTTATAGTAGTCACTGGCCTGGATACAGGTTGAGCCACTACAGGAACCGTGATATTTCTTGATACTGGCTGTGTTGTCACTGGAATGGTTACAGGTCTGCTAACAGGCTGTGATATTCCCAAACTTGACCCAGGCATCTGCTGTGTTGATAAACATCCAGCAATTGGTCTCTGCGGTGTTTGTGAAGTTCCTGAAACATTCACTGGTATAGACAATGGCTGAATAGCTACAGAGCTAGTTGTAGGTCTGGATACAGACTGAAAGACGGATGACACAGGCATGGCACTGGGACTGGAGGCAGGTGGCGCATAATGGTGACTGTCAGGCTTGAATGTAGTAACTGTACCTGTTGCAAAGGATTCCAGAGTTATCTTTCTATAATTTTGCAGTCAGATGTCTCATAAGTGTTGTGCATTTTTTGGTTTTAATTACCATATTAGGACAATAAAGTACCTCTACTGGGTGCACCATTCTGTATCCCCCTTCGTGATGAGCTGAGGTTGACTCTGTTCAAAATATCTGTCAAAAGTTACATTATCTTAATTGCAGTTAAATTAAAAGCTTTATTGCTTTTCAAATTAAAAGTAGCATTCATATCCACTAAGTAAGCCAATTAGGATTTGACTAATAAATTAGAAGATTATTTCTAAAATAAATACCTGGCAAAACAAAGTGCAATTTGTACAAACTAAGATACATTCTCCTCTCCTTTTAGGTTAAGCTAGTTCACCTAAGAAGCTCAGTTTTTATTTTCTTAGAAATAGATTAACACACAAATAAGACAAAACAAAAACAAAAAAAAAAAAGAACATTTCATAAATATTTAGCTTTGGTGATTATAACGTATTTACTTCTATTTCTCACATATATAATAAGTTCCCAAATACTGTAACTGCTCTACACTAAAGGAAGCATTTTGTCTCAATCAGCAACTACACAATTTGCTTCTGTATTACAGGAAAATACAGCACTTACAAACTTGGTTTTAGACTTCACGATCTCCATTTTCCAGTGTGAAAAACAACTCAACAGACCAGCAACCAAAATAGTTGTGTTGGAACTGCATTACAGGAGGATTGATTTTCTTCAACATTCTACATGGTAGTCTATGACCAGAGTTCCAGCTCGCAGGAAACACATGTAATTTCTTGGATTTGATGTTTACTCCCTAGTTGATGCCACCAACATTCCCCAACTTTTGACATATTACTCTGGGGTTTCTGATCATTCCAGAAAGTTACAAAAATATTCATCAAATCCAAGTATTCTTCTACCCCAGATTCTCAGTTTTGTTACTGTTGCAATTGAGTTTCTTGCTCTGACATGTGAAAATATGCATATGACATTAGATTGATCCTCCAGTATTTAACCAGCAAGATTTAAAGTTCCTTCTCAAGCCAGGGTCAGATTACATCAGGATCTCAAACAATACAGAGTACCTGCACATTGCGTTTAACAACCTTGAGGCTGTTTCCACCAGCAATGGCTTATTAGTACACACTACTCAGGTTGATGAATAAAACCAACAGCAGTAGAGCTCAGATGATCACAGCTTTCAACCTGTCACCTGCATTTAGATCATATGAATAAAAAAGCAGCTGCAAACAGATCCAAACAGGCTTACATTTTTTAAGCTATGGCAAAATTTCATTCTGTAACAGTAATACTATTTTTACTCCAACACAACACTAACGATAAGCAAGAATTACCTTAATTTGGTATTTATCTGAATACATACTTCTTTGTGTTTATTAATAAGCCTATACCTTACATTTGAATTCCAGAGTGAAATGAAGCTTCATCTACCTACAAAAAAAAAAACCCTCTCTCATAAAAGTCGTCTCACAAAGTATACTCAGCTTCAGACAGTCTGATGCACACACAGTTGATATCCTAAAATGCAAAGGTAGATTTTATTGTTTTTAAAAAGAAAATGCTGATAATTCAGTGATTTAGAATTATAAACTAGATTTACATGACTCAACTGATTCATCACAGCCTTGGTGAGACCTGTCCCCTTCCCCATCAAAGTGTTATTTGTCCTGTGTAGGTATAACAGCACTGAAGTATAAGAAAGGTAACATGCAGAACAACATTTTAAAGTAGCAACAAATTACAGGTCTGTATCATGAAAAAGGAAGCAACAAAAATGATCAGTAATTGCAGGGAAAATGAGCGGTTGCAGGAAATGGTACAGGGAACAAAGTATAAATTACTTTTCATCCTAGTCAAACTAATCTTCCAGTACATCAGAAGCAGCACTTTATTGTACATGACACTGTGGCAGTAAGTCAAAGTTGAGTTTTTAACCATTGCCTTCTAGTTTTCCACACCAGTCTGTGTAAGAACTGATAGCTGCACTGTCAGGAAAAGGTTAAAAAAAAAAATGCTGTGTACTGCAGAAAACACACCTTTCAGAAAATTAAGAACTACACACAAGTTTCCATTTATCATCTCATTATTCATCTAATCAGACAGGAATTTTCTCAGGGAAAAACTAAACAACAGTGATAAGAAAAGTTGAGTTCACTGTGTCCTGCCTATCACCAATAACAAACTGAAGCCTGACTACTGCCAGGTAGTACTACTTACAAGCCAGAGAAGAACTGAGGTCATTCTTCCATAGCTGTTTTTGATAGTGAAGATTACAAAGAGAAAAGTTGAGGAAAGGGAAGGAAAAGAGATAAAGTAAAAAGTTATACCATAAGTGATTTTACTTCTGTCAGGACCAAGTATGGACAGCACTAGAATACGATGCACCCATTTTAAGTATCTTTTATCAAAGTTCTTGAAGTTGCTGAATCATATTAAAATTGATTTCATCTGAACTATTTCTATCCTTTATGACCACAAAAAAAATCTTGAAACTGCAATAACTGCAATGAAACTTGGCATATTTGTTGCTCCAATGTATGCCTTGTGCCTTAACGATTGTTCTATGCTATAACCTACTGCCAAGGACCAGCAGCAATCCAGAGGTTTCTGGGCCTTCCAGAAAACAGTAAGGTTTTTTATCAGTCCTTCTAGAAGTTTGTAATTGCAGAAAACTTCATAGAGCAATTTTAAAACATTCCTTAAATTTTCAATAATATCTAGAATATATTTAAAATATTAAAAAACATTAACCCTTAGGAACTATTTTCAGGTGAGAAAACTTTAACATCAGCTTCCATCTTTCTTTAAAGCAAAATTTTCCACTTTTTTAAGCTAGTGCAAGAAGCATTAGACTTACTATCCCAGAGAGTAACAAAGTACAATAATGTTCAAATGCAAGATGAAAGCACTGTAAACTAAATTGACTGAACAGCTAACAACAGTTCGAAAGTCCATGCACTGGAGTGTGACAAAAAGCTTAGTTTAATATTTTGTCTTGAGATTCTTCACTGCGAACTATACGCCTTCAGAAAACAACTATGGAAATCTTGGATAAAAGCATAGCAGAGATAAGGCAGAAACTGAAAGCAGTAACCTCACCAGGCAAAGACCCGAGTATTCAACAGCTAGAGAAACCTTAGGTCACACATTTCGCACACAGAAATCAAGAAGTTTCATTACTAAAATTTAAGTAATAAAAGTGATGTTCTCCTTTACTTACCTGCACAAGCACAGGACAAACACGGAATTCTGACACATCTGCTGTCATCACAACCACCTAACCTCACTCCCTGCACTGCCTGCATTAGGAGAAAACTACAGAACTTGATGAAACAAATCTCTTTATTTTACAGGGGATGAATGTATTTATTAATGAAAATCTCTCTCTTAACAGAGAGGCTTCTACAATTTTCACATTAATCACTTTTCCCGATTGTGATATTATAATAGACACTTTAAGACAGTTACTTGGTTTTGTCAGAATGATGTCCACCAACACATGAAATGTGGGGTGGAGAAAAAACAGATACTTAAATTCACACACATTCCTATAGCAGGGAGACACTTCCCAAGTATGTAACTAAATATCAACTATATTGAGAGCAATTGCATGCATGGTTTCAGCACTGTATATATTTGATTTTTAACCATATTGTTAAGGCTAAAACCTTCAAATGTCCTTGTTTTGACTGTAGAGACCGAAGTTTAGAGGTAGACAGAGCTGTGTGTAACCTGGATTTTGGAACAGAATTTCTTATGAATTCAAATTTTCAGTATGACACTGACCTACAAAACAGCTTTAAGACGCTGAATTTCTTAAGTATTACTGTTAAGGAAAAAAAAAATTAAATCTATATCTTCAAATTAAGTTTAAGGTTTTACACCCAGAAGTATCTACTTTAAATTATGGAAAATGTTATCTTACATGTACTAGCTGGCTTTGAGCTTGAGATTTCCCCAACAAAGATTGGCTCATCATCATCATCATCATCATCCTCTTCCACTTCTTTCACTCTCTTTTGCCATGGTTCTAGCTCCTCTTCTTCACATTCCATAAATAATTCTGCCATCTTGAGACTAGACAAGAAAAAACAAAACACACATACCAAACCATTCAGTACTTTCATGAAACAAATGTTTCACTGTTCAGTAAAGATTACTGCACTTGACAGTAATTCTTTCCCTTCCCCACCCCTCATGTTCTGTACAGGTTGAACCTGATCTGATATAGAAGATCTTCAAAGATTGACATCACATCACCTTTCTGATAATTTGCTAAATTCCAATTGTTGCTACTAAAGATGAGAAAAGACCATGGATATCCTCCACATAAACTATTTTCTATAATCTTCCTGTAACTATCAGAGGAAGCCTCTGACACCATATTGAAATTATCTTAAAAAAAAACAACTCCTATTCCTGGTGATCCGCAAGAAACACGAAGACCCTATTAGGAAGCATGCAATAATACCTCGCACAACCGAGTTACTGAAACACTAATTACAGCTTTAATCTCTTTACATCTAAATAAACCCAACCCAACCAAACACCCACCCAAACCCACAACCTACCACAGCCCCACAGATTTTCTAAGATTTTGCCAGGCCTTCCCATATAGTCATGTTTTCTTTAAAACCACAAAAACCATCACAAAATTCCTCAAAACCCACAGAACAAAACCCAAACAAATCACCCACAAGAAAAGAAAACCAAACCCAAGACCCACCCTGAAACAAAACACCCACAACAATAGAAAAGATCCCAACCCATGCCCACAACACAGTGCATAGTGTTTTTATCATCAATTAGGACTTCATAAAAATTCTGCATTTATCTCACTAGACTGAATCCCTTGTGCATGGAGACTTGCTCTTACAGTAAGGAAAAAAAAGTCATGTATGAAAATATGTAACTTCTGGAATTAACCAATTAATATCAGCACTTCTAACCACAACTGGGTTTGGTTGGTTTTTTGGGTTTTTTGTGGTTTTTTTTTTTTAAGTGATGACCAATTAAGTTTTCTTCTTTCTTTTCACATCCTGTAACATAATCTTGAAAGTATTTCTGAACAATACAGGAAATAAAAACTTTTGTATTTCTTTACACATACTACCAATGATCTAATCTGTAGTAAGAGCAGTAATTTCATAAAACCACAGTGCTGTCCCAGCAATAACTTGGATCAGGGCCCCCATACAATGGTACTTGCTCTGCCTTAGACACAGAACTTCACAAAATCCAGTGTCTCCAATTTTTGGTGAATCGGAGGGGAAACAATGCAGTTTTGCATGAAAACCCCAGTGAGTACAAGAATATTAATATCCAGCCACTACAGCGATTCCTTTAAATGAATGAGCAGTTAAGCACATGTAATTCAATTCATCATTGGACTGCTTAACAAAAAGTGAAGAATATCTGTGCCACAGTTCCTTTCACAAAGGCCACAATCAGTATTTCTGGTCTTATTACCAGGCTACCCCACCAGAAAGCGTTACCAATACTTCTTTCATTCTTGTGCTGATGCAACACTTACCTGACAAAGCATACTAGTTACGGAAACTTGACTTCCCCCTATTACACAGTTGGAAATTCTCTGACAGTTTAACTCCCTAAACCTAATAGCTAGGGCATCAGACCAGCACTAATATATATATAATAATAGTCATTGAAACCTTTATATACAAGCTGAAAAACAAGATGACATTCACAATCATAAACTGGTACCTCTTAAACTAAATTATTTATTATATACGGTTTAGTGGTGGACTTGGCAGTCCCTGCGTAATGGTTGGACTTGACCTTAAAGGTCTTTTCCAACCTGGTTGAGTCTATGATTCTGTCTTTTAATATGAACTATTTATCTTATAATATGAAAAGAGTGTTTATTCAACACATTTTTCTGTATGATTTCCCATTATTTTCTCCTTTCCAAAAAGTATTTCAAGAAACACATATGTACTAAACATTGGGCCGAGTTTCTTTTTTGAAAGTATAACTGGGCAAAACCAATAACACCCCTCATTGTCTATCAGCAGGGATTGAAAAGGAACTCTTCAGCACCAGGCGCAGTGAGAAACCATCTAGTATCTAATACGAGAAGACAATTTCAGGATAGGAATAATGAGCTGCTAGATCTGGTGATGGACTGTAGAAATAATAAGTCTGTAATAGCACATCACAGGGGAGCAGAAAAATCTTTAAAGTCATTGCATTAAAGTCCATGAGAATTGGGCTGCTGGCGTGACATGCTAAGTCTTAGGAACAGCATAAAGTAGTAAAGCTTTACTTTCCTCCTTCCTTCCTTCTTCCCTCCATCAGTTTTGAGTGCTGAAGTTAAACATCATGCTAGGAAAGAAGAGAATAAGACACTAAACTAGATTCTTGTCACGGGAAAAGAGGAAAAGTACAAAGCTAATTTCCACTTGACAGAGACGATGTGCCAGGGTCTTCGAAAGAGAATGCAGTATGACTGTTGAAGGACATTCCTTAGAACACCTTTTCTTTACTAACACAGAGGCAAAGTTTATTAGACTTCAAGGCACAATGAAAGACCACCTTCAGAATCTTTTTTTCATGGAACTGACATGAGTTGTGGGGGGGGTTTATAAAAAAAAAAAAAAAAAATAAAAATAAAGAGTTGTATTTGACCTCAAGTAAAAAAGTAATCAATTATAAAATGTGCTCAGAGAGTGCAAATGAGAGCATGTGTAATTTATACTAAAAACACAAAATAGGCACAAGCAATCTATATATTAGCAACATTCTAACAGATGCATGTGATAACCTCAGCTACACTATAGTGCAGCTGATTATTTAAAAGAAAAAGTTAAAAGTAACTTCGTAACATAGCCATGGACTTCTAGGAAGTTACACCAATTGGTGGCACCTCTTAAGGACATTTCATTTTATGAATCAGGATGTGTACATTAAGGTATTCTCAAAAGGTAACTCAAAACATATGGCAACTTTTAAAAGACAAGTATCAAGATTATTTCAGACCTTTTAATCTATTTTATTTATTTCAGACTTCTTTTAATCTCAATGCTGTATTTTGAAGCCAAGCTTTCACTGACTTTTTTCCTGACAACAAAGCCAACCTAATAGGTTCCGTTCCATCCTGTTCCTGCACTGCTCCCTTGTTGTGCTATAGTACAACTTTTCAAGGGACTAAAACATGAACCAGTGCAGGTTAAAAATAACTTGGCCCACTAACAGTTTTACCAGCACAACTGAGAGGTCAAAAAACGTGTGGCCTGAGCAATCAAAGTTGCAGTAAGGGGGAATGGATTTGATTGCAGGTGTCAGTAACTGCTCAAATGGTCTCCATTACCAAAGGAAACCTCTACATTCATGTTTAGATTACAACTAGCTTCCAAGTTTTCAGCTTCTTTAACTACATTAACATAGCAAATGCATTCCAGGAATCCTGCTAGTGGTTGCTCTCAAAGCCAAACCCAACAGTGAGTCCTTCAGCACTCTCCACAAACGTTTCCCAGTGGAGATGCAGACACCAGGATAAGAAAGATAAACTTACCGCCAGTAAACTATATTTTCCTTGCTTTCTTAAGATGCCTAAGCATATATACATATTCATATAAAAATCTCCTTAAAGGTAGTCCATGGATCCAAGAGGTCCAAAAATCCAATGAAAAAATGTATCTCATAAAAAGTTTTTAAACCATTGTTCCAGGATAGCAAGTGTCAAAATTGTGAACTAGCTCTTTAAAACACTTAAAAAACATCATTAAACTGTATCAAGATATAGCTTTAAAAGGCAACTGTCCATCAAAAGCTAAGGCTAGCCATGTAAGTTCATTAGGCAGGCACAGATAATCAACAACCTGCAAAGATACAATTCTACAAAGAATATTATTGTTACCAGACAAGCAATGAATTAAAAACGTGATACAAGACAGAAGAAAAAAATTGAACTCATTGCGCAAGAGAGCAATAAGGTTCTGATAAAATATGGGGTTTAAAAGCACTAGTTCGAGCAGCTTCATTGTTCATGGCAATTACGTTTAAACATACTTCAGCTTATTAAAAGCCGGGAGCAGGTTTTGGTTGGTTGGTTGGTTGTTTTTTTTAAACTGTATTTAAAAGCACTCACATTGAATCAATAAAAATGATACAAACGTTACTAAATGTAACAAGAGTGTAACAGCGTAGTGAAAACAGCAGAAAGTCACCTGTAGACACACACCTCAAAAGATGCACAGAAATCAATATAAACCCATGAGAAATGCAGCTGCAATCAGATTTGGAGTTATTGAAAACCCATTTATTACTTTAGATGCAATTTACCTGTTCCACTTTTAAAGTCAAGTGAGCTTTCCCATACTCAACACTTCTTTGGCCTTGCTTAGAAGAACTGAAACCAAATCACTGGCATGAAATTGGCAGTACACTTAAAGAGCGAGGACATCTACCTTAACCAGAAAGTTCTCATGATGGTCTTGTCATCTTTCCATAATACTAGCATCAGTGAACTATTCAAATATATTTTCCCTCCAGTTTAGTAGCTGGAGGATAACATGGACGTTATGATCTGTGTGGTAAAGAATATACGGTGAGCATGCATGTTGTATTTTTCAGATAACTTCCCGTACAGGCACATAACATGTTAGTTGTAGAGGAGTGTGCAATCCACAGCTTCACCAGGACTGTAAGCAATTTTATTTTTATTGAGTGCTGCATTTGTTTCAGCAGCAAAGAAACGATGACCAAGCTGAAGCTGAACCTGAAAGTTTCAAAACGCCAAAGCATAAAGCAACTTCCCTCAAAACCAAAACCAAACCCAAACAGCCAACACCACCCTCTCTGCCATGAGGTGGTATAAGCTCCGCCTAGGGAAGGGTAATACTGCCTTTGCAAACGAGTCAGAAGTTCACACCCCCGAGCTGCGATGGGTGCGAGGCCGCGGGAGGAAGCCAAGTCCCCCAGGGCAGCTGAGCAG